CTCCACAATTAAATGAGCATGCCTCACGACGCTTTGGGAGAAATTAAAGATTTCTACCTTTGCCTTCTTTCATGTGAGCCGAGGTGGCTCTTCCTTTTATCCAATATCTACCGATTATTGTGGAATATACTTTTTGGTTACATGGAAATATAAAAGCCTGTGATGGCCAATCGACTGCTAATGTCGCATTCTAAACTGTACATTCAGCGAGGCAACGATGCATCTGACAGTTGTTTCGTCATTGTGAAATGGCGAGATAATAATCCACTTTGGCAGAGCTGAGTGAATGCTTAAAGCCTGTTGTGACGCGTAAAGACTGGCCGACCGTACTCAAAAGCATGTCATCACAACGCTCTATTCGCGAAGCTCTGAAGAGCACCTTACCGCCGCGTCATTGAGATTTGCCCATCTTCCTGAGCCCTTTGAGCCGAACCTTCCGACTAACTCGGGCATTGACAAGATTGCCGCCTATTTTGATACACTTCTGCTTAAATACAGCCAACAAGTGTTGCGATACAATTTTAAACAAAACATTTCCCCCGATCGATAAACGCGCAATGGTCCAGCAGCCTCAAGTGCAGTCTCCCTCAGGATGCAATGCCATTGTGGAGTGTAGCAGCAGACCGGTCTTCATGCGTTATGAAAGAAGGCCATAAAGAATGGGCGGAGGAGCTTCTAAAAGCGAGCAGAATCTGAGAACAGCCGAGCTCATCACAGTCCCCAATGAGGTGGCCGTAGTGACTGAGGACGTCAACTGTCGCCAGGTGAACTTTCACAACCGAGAAAAGTACGACAAGTCGACTTCTGAAGCTGTCTCGAGCCTCGACGCCGCCTCGAGCCTCCTCAATGAACGATACCTGGCGCCGGAAAGTTTTAAGAACAGCCGATCCCTGCCCGATCTGTCGGTCGATCTGCGATCCTCAGAACGATCGAGATCGTTGCACTTGCACACCTCAACGACCGCTCGCCTCTCGAACACCCTCGAGAAATGCCGGGCGCCTCTGCCGACGCAATGTCTGCCCGAGGTGCGGGCAGACGCCTTCCTGACGCGAGGTCGTGACGGCTCCCTCCATCTCGTCAACCGACAAACCATCCGGCAGCCCAAGTACCCTCACGACCCGTCGTTCGGCGAGCTCCGCGTCGAGATCACCCACAAAACGCCGGTCGCTCGACTCCACTGCGTCTTCCCCTCACCCCATTCCGTCTGCCAAGGCGTCAGGTCGACGCTGACGCCGACGCAAACGTCGACGCCGACGTCAACGACGGTGACGACGGCACGAGGCCCACCGGCAAAGTTGACCTCGACGCCGATACTAACGACGACGATAGCGACGGCGACGCCAACGCCGACATCGACGCAAACGTCAACGCCGACGACGGGGACGCCTACGCGAACGGTAACGCCGACGTCAA